ATTAAACTGCTGAAAATACTTTTTCAGAGGATTTTAGTGATCCAGTGCCACACATGCTTCTCATCTCCACCAATTACGCCACACGAGACATCAGCCAGCACATCCAGAGGTTGGTGAAAAGCACATTTTAGCACTCTTGAACACTACCAATACACCCAGGAGTTGGTAGTCTCCTAGACACCGAGGCCAGAAAGAGGAAGAGAGAAACCCGTTAGGTGAGCGGTAGGATTGAAGATGGCTGCTACTGCCTGTGGTGCTGACACGCCCACTCAGTCATACAAATGAAAACAAGTGACACTGGCCTGAAGCCACAGGCACATACTGACAAGAGAGTAGAGCACCATGGGGAAAAAGAAAAAAAAAAAGTCACACATTAGCAGTCTTTGATGTTTTTGTTAATTTGTGCCTGTGAACATCAGCTCTGTACACAGTTGGCTTGATGTGGCATAGGGTGATGTCGTTCCTATCGGCCCAACTACTAATAATAGTTACCAAGGTGACTCAGTCGGCAATATAATGTGCAAATAACAGTCACGATGATTTGGACAAACACGTTGAAGCCCCACAATATTTAAATGATCAGTCAGTAATTAGCGTTGAAATTTCAATGGACTGCATTCACACAATTTACTTTGGAATTAATATGAATTCCGTTTATTTGACGAGCAACAGAACAATCGTTTTTTTACAGTTGGTCTTTATCCCTCGAGCATGCCACAAATTAAACTAGAGGAGGTCTCCGAAAGAAAATGAGTGTTGCACCACGAGTGACACGCTCCTCTATTGATTTACTAGTGGACAATCGCCTTGCTCTTAATTTAAAAGTTGTGTGCCTGCTACACCGCTAACCCTCATGTTTCCCTTTAAACAAGGGAAACATGAGAGTTAGCTGTTTAGCACTGCTGCAGTGGTCCTCCTGGTCAGGGGGAGGGGTGTCCACCCTAAGCAGAACCCAAAGAGTGTGGAAATATGCTTGATGCGCTCCTGCAACAAACCCCCGGTGGCTGCTGAGCAAAATCTTTATGCTGAATCCAACCAGCAGAACAGAAATATCCGAAAGATGCAGCTCATTATTGCCCTGTTTATTTTTAACATATAGCCCCACTTAAACATGCAAAGGGACACCTCTTGAAACATAACATTTAATAATTCTTTAAAGAAAACATGGGTGCGCAACCATCTACCTGCATCTCTACTGCTCCTGTGGAAAACACTAAACATCCTACAATGGCTTATTAAAAACATACATTTTGTGTGAACATCAACTAAAACAGATAGTTTCCAACTGCAGTTGAGGAGGAAGAAGCCCCAGGTAGGGCTGCTTTATTGCCCAGCGAATGTTTCGGTCACCTTTCTGGGTGGGTGACCTACATGGGTTTAAACCTTATTGAGCATTCCCAAAAAAAAAAAAAAAAAGCATTTCAAACTTAAAGAGATTCTCTACTTAAGTGCTTCCCACAGGGAGATTTAGAAACATCTGAAGGTTCCCGCTACCCTTCTGGGTAGGCGACCTGGAGATTAGTTTTTACATTAACCCCGACTGTGTTTTATCACTCCCCTTAAGCTACACCTAATTTCTGCTCAGTGTATTTTTTGGTGGTTTTCTTTTTGCTTATCTCCACAACATGCTGTGTTCTTTCCCCTTCACATCTTTGGTAGCACCTTAGTGCCATGCATTTTAATATATGAGCAGCTCATTTCACCATTCTAAGTTTGACAGCTCAACATATTCCTGAAAATTGATGCTTCAGCTTAATAAGCCACCTGAAGATCAAAATTCTTAGCATTACCTAGGAATCTTATTAGGAATCGATTAACTAATGCAAACCCAGCAATGAAATGCAAGTCTTCACTGAAATAAGACCCTACATGCTTTTTTGATGCTTACAACGAGTAAACCCTTAACGTCATCAAGGCTTAAATTGGTAGACAACTACACTGTATACAGATGGAAAGTATATACAGAGTACTTCTGCAGCAGTAGCTTTTCAGCAAAGTGAAAATAGTGCATATTACTTTTCCACAGCTCTGATTCAAAAGTGTATTTTTCAATACAACTGGACTATTTGAGGTGTACCTTAAAGAGACATAATAAGAAAGGATGTCCTCAAGTTTAAAAAGTCCCCATGTAATTGCGAAGCAATCCTTGCATTGTTACTATAGTCATGCGTTCGTTTCTTATTTTAATGGGACAAAAATAAAAAGTAAGCTCACCATATCAAACAAGCCAATAGACTGTTATGTTTTCTTTTCCTAACCACAAACACAAATCACAGGGTGACATAACCTGTAAGGAGGAGGCATGCCGTGTAAAGGAAAGAAAAAAAAGTCCTTCCGTCTTATTCGAAAGTCCTTTCTCGAGTAGGATCAGCAAAGTTGCTCTTCAGGTTTCACCGCTTAACAGGCAGACCATTGGGCTACCCTCTAAACGCCTCAGACTTCCCCATGATAGCTTTTTACAACAGGAAAGGATATGCAAATATGCTTCCCTGAAGAAGAAAACACAGCAGAAAAGTTTGCTGTCCAGTTCGTGTTCTAAACTAACTTAAAACAAAAAACCTATTTCAGCATGTGAGGAAGACCTGATCTTTCACTGGCAGTCCGACTATCACTCAGTCAAACAGCAGGTTTATCAACAGCTTGTGCTGTCACGAATCTGCACGGCTCCAGTGTCAAGGAGCACGACACAAAGTGCGATTCAACTCCAGACACCGAGGCAGCATTTTCATCAGTGCTGCAAGAGCCCTGTAGTTATCCGTATCTTAAGATATATTGTGATGACAAAACACAATTGAGGCATTTAACATTTATCCCAACAAAGGTTGAAAAGTTGGGAGCAAATTCTGCCTGTTGAGCAGCTGAAAACCTCGTGTGATGGAAATGCATTGAGCTTGAGCCCCTTTTACGCCATTTGTCTTTTACAGCCATTATTTTGTGATCTATAGATTAAATCAAACTATTCCTATAACATCACCATGTGCTGTTTTCCTGTGAAAAGTTGCAGTCCGCTCAAGTGACCGCTTTCCTGTACATAGATGATGCGTTCACTTCTGTTGAGGGGCACAAACTGTGCACAGTGTAGCTTGAAAACTGTGATTACCACTATTACTACTACTACTACTACTACTACTACTACTACACCTTCGTCACAACAGGTACACTAAAAACAATGCCCTGTCCTTACCTGGGCCATCTGATCCTGAGGGAGGTGAATTGATCTTGGGTCGCTTTGCAGTGGGGGGTCCCACATCCATAAGATTGTCAGCCATCCTCGTCGGCAAATATTACAAGCGCTTAAAGACACCGACGAATAAAAGTAGAAATCAGTCCAAATCTTCGCCCCCCGGTTTGCAGTCGCTGGTCACTTGTATTGTTAGGCGCCAAGGAGCAATTTAACAGTTTTTTCCTCCTTTTCTTTGACTGGCAGACTGGCGAAACGCCGCCTGGAGAAAAAGGATTTCAAAAGATAGGCAACAGCGCCACGCTTCGCCACCTAAGATCACCCCATGATAATCCAACACCCAACACCCACATAATTATCCTCAATAATCACGTCCAAAAATTATTTCAGTCCGAGAAAAATAAATAAAAATCAATCATAAAATATGGCACGAAGCATAAGCGAATCCCTTTCTCCGCAGATCGCCGATTTCACGTCCGCACAGAATCATTTTTTTCGCAGTCGAAACGAGCAGCCATAAATTCCGTTTTTGGCTTAAATAAAAAGATCAAAATTCGAAAAATATTTTCTATGAGACGGATTATTTTTCTGGTCGCTGTCTCCCGATAAATAAAGCGTCTCGGGACGGCGATACGGTGAGAAGCGGCGCTCTCTAAAAGGGAAATCAAATATACAGAGGGCTTTCGAGACGACAAAACCCCACTTAGCCCTCACATATTCGCATTATTTCTAATCGGAAGAGCTCACGCTTCGATTTTCTGCACGAAAAAAGCCGTTTGAGTCCGCTCCGTGTGGCTCCGATCGGTTTTTTAATTTAATGCTCCCCCCGAAATCCAGACTATGAGCCGCGTCAAGATGGCGGCTGTTGATTCCTCCGATACAAAAAAGTTTTTTTTTCTTCCCAGCTAGACTGTGGGGGGAGGGGGGAGGCGCGCTGACGCCCTGACGTAAACCTGTGTCCCCACCGTGCGTCATGTGGACGTACGAGAAGTTGCCTCTAGGGGTGGATTACACAGAAAAAACGAGCTACCTGTTTCAAACTTTTCAAACACCCAACAGTCGCTACCTGAAATGGAACTTTTTTTTGTATTTCGCAGGCTAAAACGCGAGTCAATGCTATACACTGTTATATAGAAACAGATAAAGCAGCCTTTACTTTTAGCGAATACACTATCAAGTACACAAGCTATGATAAACCAGTATGTGACTATTGGTGCTTACAGGAAAGGTTTTAAAAACTTACATATTATCCCATCAAACTTATGTCTACTTACTTATATAAAAATCAGGTGAAGATTCTCTGTGAAGTGTGAAAGTAGATGATATAATTTTTGGGAAGAAGCACTTTCAGAGTATGAGTGTGTGTGTGTGTATATATATATAATATATATATATATATAGGAATAGGTATATATATATATATTATATATATTATATATATATTATATATAATAATATCATATATATATATATATATATCTATAACTAACTAGAAAACAGAAAACTACAATGAAGTACTAGCCAAGCACACAGTCGAGCTTATGTCTTTGTTATAAATGTGTATCGATGCACCAATGTTTAAGTTGCATGAAATCTTGTAGCTGCCTGTATTGGTGGATAGCATAATCAGTTAAGAAATATAATTAAAAAGCTGCACTCAGTTAAATGCAGTGGACTAGAAAGTACACAGTTTGCTTATGAAATACATTTGAGGGTAAGTGTAAAGTAAAAAACAAACAAACAAAAACTTGTACCATGTACGTCTATAGTTTCAATCTATCACTGGTAGTATACAGGCTATAAATTCATTAGGACAACATTTCCCAGCAACTGACTTTATTTATTATTAAATTTAACTTCACCTGTTAGCGTGCTATATACAAAAACATATCCAAAGAAAGCAACAGTTCATAGAAGTGGACCCATTATGCTTTTCTTCTTTTCTCTCATATATAATTGTTTTATGTTACAATATCAGACACACTAACCAAAAAGTTTTGAATAATGAGGTTGATGTACAAAAGAAAAAAAAAATTCACTTTAAGCCCAAAGTTCAGGTTTCAGACACTTTCTACTGCTGACTCAGTAACTGCAGAGTCCCAAACCTCTTCTTGCATTAACATCAGCACAAAAACTGTTAACTGGGAGCTTCATGAAATCAGTTTACATGGCTGAGCAGCTCTTGTAGGTGTAATGTGTCCATATAGCGTAGGGTAAAGGTGATAAAGAACTGTGAGTCATCCAAAGTTACTTTACTAGAGTGCAAAAATCTAAATAATGACCCAGAAAAGAGCATAATAGGTCCCCTTTAAAACTTAGAGGGATCGACAGCGGGCTACTTTTCAATACTACCAACCAGAGAGGTCTTGAAACGTCTCCACAGTTTTATTTGGCTAGTTTGGATTAAAAAGGAACTTAAATCTCTACCAACTGAAGCCTCGCTGTTCACATTCCTGCTAGGATAGGAGCATCTCTTCCAAAATACACACAATCACAAAGTTTTACAAATGCACACATTTTTTTAAACACACATGCAAGTATTATTCCAACATTGTTAAAATTACCCAGTTCTTAAGACAAGTAATATTCTAATACATGCGCTTATATAAATTCTAGAAAATGCTCAGATACTATACAATATAAACGCATACCGCACATTAAAAAATGAGTGCCTTTACCAGTTAGTATATGATGACTGCAAAGTGTGCACAAAATACCTGCAAATTAAGAAGACAACAAAAAGAGAAAATCCAAGAGATGGCAATGACACTCTTTGGCATTAATATTTGTGCCATTCTGCTGATTCAGAATGCCACTCACATCTCATTAAATCACAGCAAATCAAAAGATGCGCTCATGTTTGCGGTGACACAAGGGAAAAAGAAGGCATGTCAAATGTGTGAGTCAACACACCTTTCAGATTTTCACCTGTTCAGAGTAAAAAAAACAAACAAACAGCTTATTCAACAGGGCTTATCAAAATTATTAAGGAAAATTCCATTTAAAAAGGTAGCTCAACACTCACGAATTATGACCACTATTAAGTGTTTAACCATGAACAGTAATGGTTATTCCCTTTATTACAGTGTAAAAAAAACAAAAAAAAAAATGGAATGGTGTTAAGGGTTGTGTGCTCATAAGCAAAGGAAGGTTATTTTCCCTTTTAAACCATTGTTGTTACATTTAAACCAACTGCATGAGTAAATTATTATAATATTATAAAATAAAAGAGAAAAAGGAATTTAAAAACCGCAATAAATCCAAATAATGTCACATATTTGGCATATTTATATTTACTTATAGATGTCAAGAAAAGGCACTGCTGAAATCTCATCTTTCAATATTTTATCAAATTAAATGATTCAAGCACAAGCGTCAGTATTTTAAATTCTGATCAATATTAAGTGTCTTGAGAAATGAAAAGCAACAGAACTAACTTTAAAATATGACATGTTTAAATTTAAAAGGCACAAGCTACCCTAACTCCACACTTAGAAAACAATGCGAGCAAACTATTTAACTATTAAGGTGTTGTTAGCTATAGCAGCTTACATAAATTACTTGATGATGAATTCCTTTTATTTGCAACGCTTGTTCTATTACTTAAGAGTTCAGGTCAAGAAATGGTGCACTGGTGAAACCATTTTTACGTCTGAGCACACAATCCTTTTTTTTTAAACAGCAGAAGAAAGAAAATGTAACAGAAAGAGAGATGAAAACTGTTCTGACATTATAGATAGAAAAAATTAAAGGGAAAGCGAAAAGCACAGAGACCCTTCTATGAAATACCTTTTGGTGCACTGCCGTTTGCATTTACAATGCCGTTATGTAAAGTTTTCATGTCACTGAAAGTATGAAGCTGTAAAAGTGTCCAGATGTTTGCATCCAGTAATGTCCTTTAGATAACAGAAAGTAGATTAAGACGCCTCAGATAGAAAGTTCAAGTTTTGTGTAACAATTAACACTATTAAACACATTTTTATTGTGACATTCCACTTTGATCATCCATGTCCTAAAACACAATCAACTAGCACACAGTGTAATCCATAGCTAACCCAGGCAGTTTTATTCTCTAATCCATCTAAAAAAAAAGAAATTAAGACACAATTTAAGACACTCTATAGGTACGCCAGCATCTTGTAGGACCCATTAAAATACTCACTAAACACAGTTAGATAGTTTGAGCTCCTACAAGAGTCTGGATGTGCAGAGGGCACAAACACTAGTAGCAGTTAGCCTATGATGCTGCGAGCATGCTGATTAAATGCAGTTTAGACCATCATGCCTCAGTGCTGAGGCAATGCAAAGATCTTAACTGAGGCCAGAGAAAAAGCTGCCACATCAGCAAACAAGTTTCTATTTGTAAACCTGCAGTTTCAGTCATTTGAGTAACTCATAGGCACCTCCCCTTATTAAAGCCTAAGTGATCTTACTATACAGACACACACTGCATAAGAGCAATACACTCACTCGACAACTCACAGCTCAGCCTCGTCTGCCTTTAGCCTGTACCGATTTGTTCCAGTTGTGCCTTTCCTGATGCGTTTTCTGGTTTTCAAGAACAACATGGACACAGGCTCTGCAGGATTTTAGTGCGGTGCATTTTTTTTTTACTCGTACATAATTTTGCCCTTCGCTTGTCACATATTGTGATGTTTTACACATTGTTGCTTTTCTTTTTAATAAAAGGCAAAATTATCATAGCAAAACATAGTTTAAAAAGTAAACCTGTAACAAAAGCAAAGCTTTTCTTCCCAAAAAGCTTTCTAATTTACAATTTTCCCTTTATGTTGTTATTCCCTTATTTATAAAGGCTTAGTCTACATAATATTCTACTCTAAAGGCACTTAAAAAGACATATGAAAGAAATAATCAAGATTAAAGGTTTAAAGATAATCAAATAAGTTAATGGCAGATAATGGGATCTGCGACAGGCAAGAGAAGGTCCAGAGTCAGCTGTCACATTTTCCCTTTTCTTGTGCGTTACTGCCTAAGACCATCTTTGTGGTCCACCCTCCACTCTTGATAACATCAGCCAACCGTGAGCCGTTTTCACACATGTATCCCACCGGAACATCTACAATTGTCCCTTCTCACATGCTGCAGGTGATAGTCCACTTCACGCTGCTGGAAATACTCCTTTTGGTTTAGATTAAGGTGCTGCTTTCTTAGCATGTGCAAGAAGCAGGACACATAACGTCCATCCTTTGCCACGAATTCTCAGGATAAGTGCCTTTTCTATCTTTACACAGGCCCAACTGGACATTGCCTACACTTTGTGCTATAAGGAGCTTACTGTGGAAAGCCAATTTGAAGTCTGATCAAATGTTTGTGCTCCTATATGCAGCTCAATTGGGTAATGTCTAGTAAAAATTATGTACTGCAGTGCATGTGTGAAAATGGCTATATTGTCACAAACACACACAAAAAAAACAACTTGCTTCTTGGCTGGTGAGGCGAGAGCTTGGGGTCTTTTCACATCCTCCATCGCCAACTGAAGTAGGACCAAATGTACAGTGATTCTACACATGCCAGCTGGAAGGAATGAGAGCTTAAAGGGTAGAGGATTGATGATGAAAGCGGCACACTTGACGATTTCTAGAGTCTGGTTAACTCGCCAACATTACCGCCAGTTTCATCCTCGTAATTGTCCTTCTTGATATCCTTCAGGGGATTTGTTGACCTTTGGGATGTATCCTGCTGGGCTGAGATGATAAGTTGTTTGTTTTCTGACAAAGAAGGGGGTCCTTCAAGATTGGTTATATGTACAGATGTCAGGCCAGTGTGAGACTTTGATCGCCTGGCAGCAGAAGTTTCTGCAGTGGGACGTCTTTCACGGCTATCTACCTCTTTCACGTGAGTAAGCCCTGTCGTACTAGGGGAACCAGTGCTGGCACTGGGTACCATAGTATTAGTACTGCTTGCAGTGGTGCTGGTTGCAGGGACCATGCTTGCAATTTCGTCAGTGGGTGAGCGCCCGATGCTGCCATCCACCTGTGCTCGGATCTCTGGAGAGACTGAGAGCTGGTACTGAGGCACCGGGCCACTATCGCTGCTTTTAGGATAAAGGAAGGTCTTCATCTGACCTTTGCCCTTGACATTAACTGTGCCGCGATAATCAAACTCGTAATCCATGCCGCTAAGAACACAGTAACTCTCTTCGCTGACCTGGACACGACACTCCACGCCTGTGGTATCCATGCGGCTGGCAATGTTGACCGTGTCGCCCCAGATATCATAAAGAAGCTTGGTGGTGCCAATTACGCCTGCTGTTAGAGGCCCGTGATTAAATCCAATACGAAGCTTAAAGCCAAACCCTAACATGTTCTTGTTAAAGTCATCCACCACACGCATCATTTCAAGGGCAAATTCAAAAAGAGCTCGGAGGTGGGCGTGAGGATGTGCTGCATCTGCACACTGCTGAGCGTTGAGTCCTGCTGCCGCCATGTAAGTGGCACCAATGGTCTTGATCTTTTCTATATTAGCAAAGACGGGCTTCCGTAGGAGCTCATCAAAGTCTCCAATCAGCTCGTTGAGGACACGATAGCACTCCTTACCTCCTTCATAGCTTTCTTCATAAAATTCACTAAAGTTAACAATACTGGCAAATATTACACCCACATTGTCATGGTTCTTGGAGTAGCTCTGGGTAACCTTGAGCTGCTCGGCCACATGTATGGGAATGATATTGCGTAGCAGCCAGTCGGCCTGGTCCCTCATGTTCTGGATCTTGATGCGGTGTTGATCAGCTTCCACATTGCCATGGTAATGCAGACGGTAACTGACCTCAAATTCACGGTTAAGAAACCAGACCAAGAGAAGGAGGAGGAAAAAGGCCACACAGGCCTCACGGCCGAGAAGGTCCTGTGGGTGGGTCTGTGGGTCAAGTTCCAGTGGGCTGTCAGACATGACAATGGAGGTGTTGCTGTTGCTGCTGCTGTTGTTCTGGCCATCAGACCTGGTTGAGAAAGAGAAGAAAGAGAAAAAAAGAGAAGAAAGAGGGAAAGGAAAGTTTAGAATAATTTAAGAAATAGTGCAGCTGTTACGATTACAAATAACCAAATGCAGCATTTGCTATAAACTCAATGCATCTCACCAAAATCAAACTGCCATCGCTCAGAATAGAAAGTCAGAGCACCTCAGTGGCAGAGAGCCTAGAGTCTGGCTGGTGTCCTTATTTCACCCATTGAATCTCAGTTCACTATCACTATCTGTTGAAGGCATAGTGTGTTTTGTCTTGTTTTATCTTTAATTTTATTTGATAGTGAGAGACAAATGTAGGAAGTAGGCAGAAAGCTGACATGGATTGGAATAATAGCTTGGTTGGAATAATAACCGAGCCCATTCAGTTGAGGCTTTTTGTCCAGTTTTAATGTGAAATGAGAAGTGAGAAATAATGCACTTCAAAACATCAACAATAATCATACTTACCAGAAAAACAGACTCTTAGTGACACTGAAAGAGAAAAAGCAGAAGCAACATTAATTCATGAAATAAGAACATCAAAAATCATTTCAATTCACGGACATTATACTTGTTCATAGCATGAAATGGCATGCAATTGTAAAGAGGAAAGAATTCATTAGTTTTTATGTTTGTTATTGATGCCTCAAAAGTTTTGAGGCAGAGATTTTTGCGACTGACCCTGTTATGTATGTATTTCCAAGAGTTCGTTTTTCAGGGTGCAAAATATAGGGAGGAGAACATTTAAATCAAACATGCAAACCGATTTACTAATGTTTAAGACACACAGTTTACTGTTAATTGCATCGATATTTAATTTTTGCGCTTGATATCGAAATGAACCTGACCACATTTAGAAAACAGCACGACTTTTGTAAATCACTGTAAAACTAACAAATTCTTCTTGTGGCAACTATTTGGGGATTGCGCTCACACCCTATTTTGCAAGTTGAGTTAAAGAAGGGTGCTAAATACAATGTGAGAGTTTATTGAAGTGGCAACCAGATGTTGAAAGACACCATTTCAGCCCCATTTGCAGTGAGCAATCGAGTTAGGCAAAGAAAAATGTTGTCCCAGTTTGTTTAATCTTTGTGATGATGACTGTAAAAACTGGGTGCAGGGTTGGCAATTTGCTAGTCAATCATATTATCTATGGAGATGATCTTGTGCTCTTTAGTCCTAGTGGTGCTGGTCTAGAGCAGCTCCTTCACATGTTATGTTATGTTGTGGAACATGACATCAGATGTAATGCCTGCAAGAGCACTGTCATGATTTGTAAACCAAAGAGGGCAAACACCAAAGATTTCCAGAGTTTAAACCATCAGATAATATAAGGTCAGGTATGTTGGATATCTTATTAAAGATCAAATGACAGACAATGACATTTATAGGGAATGTCTGATGATGTATGCACAAGTGAACATCCTCTTATGTAAATTTAATGCATGTACAGACTTTAAGGCACATCTGTAGGTGAATTCCAGGAAAGCAAGTTTACGGAAACTTCATGTAGCGCATAATGACGCCATGAGCTTATTATCGAAGAGACCAAGATTGTTAAGTGCAAGTGAGATGTATGTGTTTCTATGGATTATGAATGAGAAATAAACAAAAGCTGACTGAATGGACCTCCCTCCTTGAAATTTTCATCATCACATTATCCTTTATAATTAAGTGAACTGACCAAATGACCATGCCAAAAAATACTGCATGGGTTGTAAAGAGCAAAACTATTACTTCCTTTTATTGACGTCTCCGCAGTAAAATAAATGCATCTCATACCTGCAGGGGGAGCTGAAGAGCAAAGCCAGCAGTGCCAGTCCCACCAGTGTTGCTAGTGTTGAGCGCATCCAGTAGCTGAGCTGGCAGAAGTTACAATACTGAATAATAGCTATGATGACAGCACAGCAGATGAACATGGTAAACTAGGAAAACAAGAGACAGAACACAATATCAGTCAAAAAGGTGTAGATCATACTGTAAACAATACTAACTACAATACTTCTTACATACTGCATACAGCAGTTAAAGACATAATTAACGATGAAGTAAGACAAGCAGAACTTGATCAAACAACAGTAGCAGTATTTAATACTCTAAAGATCCCTTTTTAAAAGCATAAAATAAACATGAAATTTTAATTCACCTGAATGGAGTGATGCATGTCACAAGCGACATGGGAGAATACTGCCACAGCAGGCAGGGACACCAGGACAGCTCCTATAAAGTGGCGTGCTATCCAGCCTGACATGGCCGTCATCAGCACTCGAGTGCAGGTCAGCACACTGTCCAGATAAAAAGCCATGCTGGAGAGAAAAGAAACCCAGAAAATGATGACTGATACAGATGACATGTGAGAGATTTTATAGTTTTATGTGTTCTCATGTGATCCCAGCTTGACTAATAAACTGGCTGCAGATATAATTATTAAAGGGCTGATTTATATATGATATAGATGGAAACATTTCCTGTCTCTTTTTGTTTTAGGGTCTATACATTTTCTTTCTGCACAGATTTTACCTGTAAGTCCAATATTAACCATGCCAACATTTTTTTCTTCTGTCTCTCCTCCTGGTCATCTTTTAAATATACTTTGAGGTGAGCAAAGCACCCACTCAATTCTTGCGTTAGACAGTTCCTCTAGCCTCTGATTAAAAGTTCCAAAAATCAGCTTGGGACTTAGCCCTCAGATGGGTTGTACACAGCTTGAAGATAACAGTACCACTGTCTCTACTATCTCTTCCCTGTTAAAAAGAACAAGGAAATGATAAGGACCATCCATCCATTCTCCTCCACTTATCCTTATCAGGGTCAAGGGGGAAAGAGGTAGGGTACAGCATTGACAGGCCACCAGTCTCACGCAGGGCCAACAACCTATAATGCCCCAATGATAAGGTATTACAGAAAATCCAAGCGTACCAAGAATTCTTCTCTCAACATACTTGAGAAAGAAGTAGAGATGATGTGTGCACATCTAGGCTGCCCTCACCTGGACCACACACCTCTCCTGCCAAGTCAGGAAGGCCCATAAGAGGCGTTAGTCTGTTGGGATCTTAGAGCATACTCACCTCTCTCATCCCCTGATGGCCAAACTTCTATCAGTCAACAAGTGTGGTGAGGACTACAACAGCTGGTGAGGGTGGTAGGGTGTGCTTACAGTACCATACGACTACTATCATGTTGCACTATTATTTCTGTATATACTATCTCACTGTGTTTATCTGTTCATTTCCATATTTCTTGTCTATTTTTATACTGCTGCCCCGCCTAGAGCTGCTCAAAGTTTTGGTTTTTATTAACAGGGAATATAAATCTATTCTATTCTTTGTATTGCACTCCTAATTTAATAAAATATGTTCAAGCCTTTCTGATAATGTCTGACTGGCTTGAGCCTCTCCTGCATGCAGTATCTCACCGTATGGCAATCAGCAGAGCCAGGACCTCCAAAATTGTGGCTACAGCTGTGAGAATGAGTGCCAGTGTGGATGGGTTCTGCTGGGTAACAAGCGGTTGAAGGAAACAGGCCAATGAAAGAGCCAGAAATACTAAACAGCACAGGAGCATGTCCAGGAAAGAACTGAATGTTGGGCTGGCAAATGTCTGCACTGCTGCTTGGGTCTCGACCTGGGAGGATGGGAAAAGAGGAAACAGAGGGCAGAAAAAAAAAAAAAAAAAAAAAGAGTATAATCGTAAAAATATGCTTATTAAGGTAGCGTGAAGGGGATTCATAAATAAGAATGAGGTGTTAGAGGAAATCTGTCTTAATACTGGTGGTATATTAGGAAATTTAACCACAGAGCAACTACAAAAAAAAGCTGGATCCCCCTTGAATAAAATGAAAAAAAGAAATAAAAATTAATGTTACAAATTTAACAAGCTTCAATAAATCTTATTTGTGATTAGTTACATATTATTTGTTAATGAGACTGTAGCAACAGCAGCAGCCATTTCCTTAAGATGCACTTCTGATGATACACCAGCAGAGGACATCACAACCTAAAACTAAACTGCTTCTAAGGTCCTGCAGTGATTTCCCTTTGCCGCAGTCTTCAGCGGTCTGGTCATAACACAGCACTATCGGGCTACCAGACACAGACAAAGAGGAAAACATGAACAAGCTAAGATAAATATATAGAAATTCAAGCAAGCATACTATGCGTGCTTATCTAAATGACTCTCAGATCTTAGCTAGACCAAAGGTAACTATGTTAGGCAACATTTCATCACACACAAACACCTACCTCCTCCTGGTAGCTTATCCGGTACGCAGACTCCAGGCTCTTCTCCAGGAAGGTGAGGCTCAGCTTGTTTATTGGAGGTTTGTAAAAATAGTCCTTCATGAGACTGCAAGAGACACACAAAGTTACATTTTAGAGACAGCATTTTGTAGACAATGGAGGTGCACGTGAGAGCACAAATGTGAAATTCAGACATTGCTTTACAAATAAGATTTTAATGTTAAAGAAAAAACATATGTTCACAGCCTTCCCACAAATGTATCGTTAACTAAAGCAACTATAAACGCTGCTAAAATGTATTAATTGTTCAATTATTGCTTTTTAATCTCTCCTAACCAACTTTATAATGAATTCATCCAAGCCATCAGTGTGTTTATTAGACCCCATTCATAGAAGGCTGTTCAAAGAAGTCTTACCATTAAGTGCTCTATTTATTTTTACTAACTGGCTACCCACCAGAGGCCTTTAACTTTGCTTAAAAGCTGATCCAATTAGATTTCCAATATTCATATTATTTAAAAGATTCTCAAAAAGAATGTTGTAAATCAGTTATGTCATCATTTGCAGAGGAATGGTTAAATGGAATGGATACAGTCTTGAATTCACCATGGCACCGAAAGAGCACTAGTAAAGGTTACTAATGACCTTCTTAAAGTCTATGACTGTGGACATTGCTGTGTGTTTGTCCTCTTAGACTTCAGTGTTGCATTAAATACTGTTGATGACGTTGAACATTTTATGACTTAAACTAGAACGCAGCACTGGCATTAAAAGAAATGCTCTGCACTGGTTTGAATTATATTTATCTGATTGGAGTCTATCAGGAGCCAACACTACTCCTCTTTTATACTCTCTACATTGGCTCTTAATAGATTGTGTTTTATTATATCCTTTTTGGCTATTATGGCACTTAGTGCTCTTATTTATTTTAGTCATTTTGTGTATAACACTTTGTGATAGTCTATGAAAAGTGCCTAATAGATCAGCTTTACTTGTTTGTTTAACTTTACTTCTAAAAGCTTCCTGAAAAATGTTCTGCTTATCCAGAAGATCATATTCTCGCATATTTCCAGAATCCTTTCATTGGCTTCCTCTACACACAAACCTTGACTATACAGGCCACATCATGTCTTAAAGACCTCACAGTACTATGTTACCACAATGTGAGCACTTAACTATTAGACTTTAGCTTTCAGGCCCTCGTCTGTGGAACCAGCTCACAGTTTGGATTCAGGAGACAGACACTGTCTCTACTTTTAAGGCTAAAAACTTTCCTTTTTGATAAAGCATATAGTTTGGGCTGGATCAGGTGGGCCTGAAGCCTCCCTTAATTACGTTGCTAAAGACTCAGTGTGCTGAGAGGCTTCCCATGATGCACTGACCATTTCTTCTTCATTTCGGTGCCCATGTATTTATACAGTACGCCACTACTGCATATTATTAATGCTGGATTACCTATCTTCTTTGATAACATCTACAAAGTGAGCATCACTCCTCTCCCTGAAGTTCTTGGATCGCAGAGGTAAGAGCGCTGAATGATCCATCCCCATGGCTCCTCCGCTCCATGTCTTCTTCTCCTTCTCCTGCAGCATCTCACACAGTGACGTCTGGCTGTTGGTCAAAGCTTCTAATCGAGGACTAAGCAACCCGTTTAAAGCCTTGGGGTTGCAGCCTGCAGAAATCACTGGGGAGCACTTCAAATTTGAGGCATCCTGAGGTGAAGAGGTGAAAGAGGTACTCGACTTTACAAAGAAGAACGTGTGATGTGGCTGTGGAAATGGGTCAGAAATAGTATGAAGGAGTCTGAATAGGAAATATGAAAGTTACAGGCTGTGCTTCAGCTGCACCAATTTAAATGGTTGTCTCTGTGGCACAGTTCATCTGGGACCCATAGAGTTCTACTTCTTTGAACTATTTTTGAGACCTTTTTTAGCTGCCGGGTACGTGTAAATGAAATATCTCTATGTGCCCATATTTGCTAGAACCATAATGACAAAAAGTAGACTAGACTATGAGTCTTTCCAAATGTGAAAGTCAGACAAATAACATTTTGACTGTTTAATATTGTTTTCTCTGTTTTGTTAAGGTGGTATCAACTAGCTAACCTTGCCACTGTTGGTCTTGTGGTCGTCATGGCAGCCATTGTGCACCATGCCTTCTTCCAGGACCTGATCCTCCCCTGCTATCAGTGCCACGCTGCAGGAAAGACAGGGGGACTGTGGGGTGATTAGACGGGTGACACAGAAGGAAAGGGAGTAGAGAAGAAAGGAAGAGAATTCATGAAGTAAGTGACGCAGATCAAGCAGAGCATAGGAGCTGATAAAAATACAACAAGATACGTCGGTGTGATGCAGCTTTGCTGTGAGGGCAAAAGAGCTAAAATGTGCCATTAAAAGGCAAAGCAGGAACGCTAACATGTTTTTAATTAATCTAACAATCTCTGAAACACTTATGATAGTATGTTTCAATGTTTAAAAAACAGTGATGGCAATAAAAGAGTTAACAAGTTGTGTGTAGGAGGTCTGCACTGGCTCAAGGTCTTTATTTTCAGGCGAGTGTGTCTGCGAGAGCGAGAGATCTGTGTGATACTTGTTGTGCTATGACTGACCATGACACAGAGAAGCACAAGGTGCCATAAAGTAGTACTGTGGAGCTTAAACAATGTAAATACAAAGAGATGGCAAATAATGTACACCTACTTGTCACATTAAAAACATGGAAACATTTGTGATTACGCCTGCCGTTCAGGTTTCATCCTTTCACCTGCTCACAGTTATTAAGCTTTTTTTTTCTAAGATGTCTTATCCTTCAGTGTGAGACTCATCCAGATTTGTGTGAGAGCTACGCTGAAGATGAAAAGCTGCAAATGAAAAAGTGATCAGTGGTAGGCAGACAGGTTTTGGCAGTACTTCCAAGGTCCCCTCTGCTTGAGTTAACTCATTTCCATACTGGGATGAGAAGCCAACCCCACCTTCCAGCCCTACCTCTTCTACCACTCACATGCCTTCCTTTTTTCTCTACTGCACCTTCACTCTCCACCTGTCCGGGTAGAGATAAAAGAGCTGTGCAGAGATCGCGGGGTGCAAACAGATGATTAATTTGGGTGAATTTATGCTACAGCAGTAAAGGTTTTTGAGGGTAATTAATAAAAAAAATGATGTGTTAAGGGTTTTGCTGAGTATGTTATGGCCGTACAATTTTGGCAAATGTGAAAATTTCCCTTCAAGGCAGAAATAAGGAGAAGATCGGCAATGGACACACAGGTAGGTCCATAAGCGTGTGGACAATGACACAGTTCTCATAGTCTTGCCTCTGTACACCACCATAGAGGATTTTAAATAAAGGACCAAGACTTTCAGTTTTAATTTAAGGCGTTTAACAAAAGTACCGAATTAACTGTTTAGGAATTACAGCCATTTTTATACGCAATCAGACAAACTAAAATTATTATGAATATAAAGATTGTTCTAATATTTGGATGAAAATCCTTTGCGGTCAATGACTGCCTGAGGTCTACAATACATGCTGTTTTTCTTCCCTTGAGATGCTCTGCCAGGCTTTTACTGCTGCTTGTTTATGTGTCTCTCTGTATTCAGTTTTGTCCTCAGTAACTGAAAAGCAAGCTCTACTGGGCCAAGCTCAGATGACTGTCTTGGCCATTAAAGAATATCCAATTCTTCAGAATTTTCCAGAATATCCAACACCTTCTCGAACCACCTGCCTGCTCACCCTCCTGTCAATTAGATTTTTTCCCCAACACCTAACCAGTGGCTCACCCCACTGCTCGTTCCGCACCCATCCCAAGTAAGCAACTCTGAAACATTCACTTAGCTCATTACTCTGGTGCTCGCCCATGCCTTAGACTGGAAGTAACTCTCATCTCTTCTCTCCTAGAGTTGCTGTTCTGAGTTACCAGAGACTCTTTCCAGCACTTATCCCTGTGAAAAAAACCTTCCAGTGCAATAAACTCTGAACTGTGAGCTGTTGTCTCCCGGGTGTTGCTTTAGAGTCTATTTCACAGTTACACATTTCATCACTCATTAATCTTGGTTTCATCTGTCCAAAGAAGGTGTCTTTGAATACAGACTTTGACAATGATATGATTTTTTAACAGTATTTTTCCTAACCATGGCATTAATTCTATCTTTACTTCAATTGTCTTGTGTGGTCTTTCAGGACTTTTTGGTGTTGCTGAGCTGGTCAGTGCATTCAGTGTTTTTAACAACGCATCAGATTGTTGAATTGTCCATTGACTTTTTCTCTCTCTCTTCTCATTTTGGTTTTCAGCCCAATGATGGTCCTCCTTCGCTTTCATCTGCATCTCTTCAGACCTCATATGGAGTGTCAGTTAACAGCTAAATGAAATCTCAACACTTAGAATCAGATTGAGATATTACATCTGCTTTGTCTGTTTGTTAGGACGGGTCTCACTTGGCCATGAAACAACTATCCAAACGTCCTCTGAAAAAAGGGGAACTATGTATAAAAATGGCTACGTTTGTTAAACCTCATGAATTAAAGCTGGGAGTCTGCATCTCGTCACACTTCGCTTGTTTAATTTTTTTTAATCCACTGTGGGGTTGCACAAAGTCAAAAATGACCAAACTTGTGTCACCAGCCAAATGTGTCACTTATGAACTGTATGTGATCAGCACTATAATGCTGCCTGCATTTTTGTTGCATAACTAATATGATTAGACAATATCTCTGTGTATTTGTTTAGATTCATACTCTTTAGAATTTAATATGCACTGAGGTGCCATGCAAACAGAAGCATATTTTATACAAGTGCACCAAATATGAAGCGGTAAATTAACAAAGATGCTCAAGGTTAAGCTTATGTAAAAAATATGGATGTTTTGCATGGTGTGGATCAAAGCAATTCTGTTTTTTAGCTCCTTTAACACAAGACAATAGAAAGCTCAATGCATGCAAAAAGAAAAATGAAAATATTTATCAAAGCTCCTGATACGCCCACACAAAAACACAGAGCAAAGATGAACATCGAAGAGATTGTGACAGAACATAGAGCTCAGTGTTCTTCCTCAGGTGATATAGCTGTACAATGATAGATGAGCCCAAGAAAATATACTTATATATTTAACTACAAAGCTGATTCCCTTAGAGACAGCAACTTACCTTGGCTCTGTCTTGGGGAAGGGTGCAGGCCGAAGGGGCTCCATCAGGCGTGTGCACTCTGGACGTGGGACAGCAAGGATCTGCTTGCTCCGTCCCAGCTAATCCTATTTGGGAACAGGTACAGACGGAATGAGCCTCCATCTTCCTGCCAGAAATCAGATAGGTCTTTAGGCCTGAAGAGAGAAATGGAAACAAATAAAGAGAGGATGTCACTGACAGATCAGTTCTTATTCCCAGATCTAACTGGAAAAGGCCTGAGTTGGGTTTAGTTGTTCTTTTGTGGATAAAAGTATAGGCAGTTGTGGAGTTGTTTTAGGAGTCAGCAGAGGGTTTGTGGCCAGAATAAATCCCCACAGAGAATTATGCAAAGTTGGAAAGTTCAAGTTTGCAGACTTGATCCTTTTTTGTTTCTCTACACGTTTACAAAACTTTATCATTTTTTTATGCATTTGTGCAGGTCTTTGCATTTCTGTCATTTCAATACACACAGTGTGAAAAAGACTAGCACTTTGATACCAAGTGACATCATCAGAGGCTGAAAAAGTTTACTTCTTTTACCAAAACTAGAAAAAACCCCAAAATAAACCAAAAAGAAACATTTGAGACCTAAACTAGTGGGTCACAATGTAATGGTTAATATCCCAATGCTATATCTATCATTTCCAGTTGATATATACAAACAAGTAAAACTTCTTTCAAGAGTCCCATTTCCTGCCCACAATCATGTCTTCTTCATGTGAAAACAGCATTTTACGTTTTAATATTTGTCTAATATTTAAATGTTTTTGATGATCTGAAACATTTAAGTGTGACAAACATATAAAAAAATAGGAAATCAGGGAGGGGGCAAACACTTTTTCACACCACTGAATTTCTCACCAATTCCCCCATAGCCCGAGGAAGGATTTCCGTATAGCAATTTCTGAATTAATTCCATTTCTCCTTCTTGAGCTTCACCTTCTCCATAATGAGAAATGTAATCTTTCATATATGCGTAATATGGGTGCATGTGCATGTAAGTGTGGGTGTTCATGTATTCCTTTCCGCTGACCATGAAACAGCCAAATATTTGAACACCTGCTTCCTCCTGCCTCTATCAACATGTCCATTTCCATTACTCCTGCAAGTTATGTGTATTTGTATGCAACTCTTTGCTGTTGTGACACGTCATAGCCACACTAACAGGTTATCTGTGTTTGTCAGCAGCATAGGTTAGTACCTGCAACTGTGTGCTTAGCCACATAATTTAACTGTCAGTGAAGCTGCAGCCTCAGGCTCTGAGCATTGTATGCACCCCTCCCCACTCGCCTGTCCGCCACTGGCTCTGCTAAGCCACCCTGGGGCTCCACTCTCTGACACACACACACACACACACACACACACACACGTATGCCACAAGGGAACAAAGTCTTAGTTTAAGATGAACACACGAATTAAGAAGCAAGACACAAAAATAAGAATGCATACAAAAAGATCGATGTACCGTTTATGAGACACTCACAAAAACAGCATCGCTAAACGCCTACACACTTAGTAAAACACACGTACACAAAGCAAGCAGAAGTATAGATGGATGACTTCACTGTAGCTGGGTGGATAGTCAGGTGGATGAGATTCAAGGACGGGAAATGAAAGCGGTAAACAGCAGTTACAATGAACCATTTCCCCGCATCAGTGATGCAGAATGGCACAGCAGATGAGGAGAGGCAGCAGGAAACTGAGGAGAGCTTTTGACTGCCTCCGAAAATGAAAATGTGCGAGAGTGAGTGTGTGAGAGTGACTGTGTGTCAAAGACAGATCCAGAGACACAAACACACACACACACACACCACTCGCACGCAGCATGACTGATTTCATTAGTTTGCTAATCAAATCCTACCCTGCCTCCCATTATGACACACCGTCTTCTGCTTCTGCTGATGGGTCAACTAGGTTATTTTCCCCTTCTCTTTCTGCTTCTCCTGTCTTCTTTTATCCTTTCTCATCAGTATCTCTGAAGCAGAAATGAGTTCCAGTGACATGCAGTGTTCTCACAACTTCCACAAGTCATCCTGGAGTGACGCAGGTAAAGTAGAAGATGCCTGAAATGACTTTGAGTGGAGAAATGTGGTGTAATTGTTGCCTCGCCTTTTTATTGACATTTTCACAACCCAGATCGGGAGCCTTTGAGTTAGAGAGAGTGCCAGATTTTCATTATTTATTAATATATTTATACTCTCAATTAATGCAAATCGCGCAGTAAAAGCAAAGGCGCCCGCTGAGTAATAATAAAACTGCATATTATGGGAACCAACCCAAATTCATCTTAACAGAAATCCCTGGACCATTTAGCCTCTATTCCCAAATACTGTGAAAGCTTATTAAAAATAATGAGGTATGTCAAGACAGAAAATGTGTGTAGCAACAAATTACTAGACAGAAAAGATAAAAGGCAGAGAGAGCAGGTTTGCCAGTGCAAAGAATATCGATCCATTATCACTCCACTTCAGAAAAGTCAGGGTGACACATATTTTTCTTTCTGTGCTAGAGCAGATGGTCTGTTAGTTTAGAAATTTAAAGAAGAGGTGATGCAACACAGAGGCAAACATGCTCCTATCCCGACACTGTTAAATGTGTTTCTAGCATCAAATTGTCATGGCTGTGTGCAGGCAGGCAGAGAGGAAGGACACAAAATGCAGGACTCACGGAGGCAAAAATGAACTCGGAATAAACTGCTTTATTGCAGGCTGCTGATAGAACGGAAGACTAACTAAACTGGAAAATATAAACTAACAAGCAAGCAAAACAGGTAGCAGAACACACAGCGTAAGGGTGAGTAGATATTTATAGAGAACAAAGGAATCACAGGGCTTATATACACAGGGGAGTAATCAGGGAATGGAAAACATGAGGGAGACACAGCTGGGAGGGATTGGGCTAACCATCGTGGCTCAAGAGTTGGGAGTTCGCCTTGTAATCGGAAGGTTGCCGGTTCGAGCCCCGGCTTGGACAGTCTCGGTCGTTGTGTCCTTGGGCAAGACACTTCACCCGTTGCCTACTGGTGGTGGTCAGAGGGCCCGGTGGCACCAGTGTCCGGCAGCCTCGCCTCTGTCAGTGCGCCCCAGGGTGGCTGTGGCTACAATGTAGCTTGCCATCACCAGTGTGTGAATGTGTGTGTGAATGGGTGGATGATTGTGTATAGTGTAAAGCGCTTTGGGGTCCTTAGGACCAAGTAAAGCGCTATACAAATACAGACAGACCATTTAACGAGACAGGAAGCAGGTAAAACTGAACACACGGACCTTCAAAGTAAAAAGTATGGTTTCAGAACGCAAAGAACCACTTCAATGGCGATAATTGAGGCAGTAGAAGAAATTACTGATACACTGGATAAAAATAAATATGCAGTTGGTATTTTTGTTGATCTCAAAAAGGCCTTCGACACAATCAATCACTCAATATTATTGGATAAATTGGAAAGATATGGTATTCGAGGGAAAGCTGGTAACTGGTTAAAAAGTTACCTAACGGGTCGGGAACAATATGTTAGCATAGGGCATTACCATTCAGAGAAACTTGGTATTACATGTGGTGTTCCCCAAGGGTCAGTGTTGGGACCAAAACTTTTCAATGTATACATAAATGATATTTTTGATGTTTCTCAAGTACTTAAACTCATACTGTTCGCAGATGACACCAACATATTTTTCAGTAGCGATGATTATACTGATCTTGTAATGACCGTAAACAGGGAGCTAAAATTAATAAAAAAATGGATGGACATAAATAAATTATCATTAAATATAAATAAAACTAAAGCAATGTTTTTTGGTAATTTAAAATATAATATAGAATTACCAATTATCATTGAAGGTGTACCAATTGATAATGTGAGTGAAAACAAATTTTTGGGAGTCGTAATTGATAACAAAATTTCATGGAAACCCCACGTCAGACACATAAAAACCAAAATTTCCAGAAGCCTCGCAGTTTTGAACAAAGTGAAACCATACCTTGATAAAGATGCACTTCGTACTCTGTACTGTACCCTGGTTCTTCCATATCTTACATATTGTGTGGAAGTGTGGGGAAACATATAAAAATACAACTAATCCATTAGTCACAGTACAGAAACGAGCACTGCGTATTATTCACAAGGCTGGTTATCTAGATCATACTCACAAATTCTTTCTTCAGGCAAAGTTACTTAAATTCCAGGATCTGGTTAATTACAATACATCCATAATTTTGTATAAAGCTTTTACTAAACTTTTACCGGCAAATTTACAAACTAGATTTGAAATTCGAGAAAAGGTTTATAATGTGAGAGGCTTTGGAGAATTCAAATTACCCAGAACTCGAACAACCCGTAAAGGTTTTTGTGTGTCTGTATGTGGTGTGAAAATCTGGAACAGTCTGAGTTTACAATTGAAACAATGCAAAAATATTCATAGATTTAAATTTCTCTACAAACAGTTGGTCTGGTCACAGTATACTCAATGATGGTTTTAGTGTGCTCTGTAATGTCTGTTCTCTTACCATTGCTGGTATGGATTCCAAAAAAAAAAAAAAAGTGTGCGTATGTATGTACATATATGTACATGTGTGTGTAGATATATATGTATGTATATGTATGTGTGTTTGTTACTTGTAGTTATTACTGCCTGTTACCTGTGGTAATGCAATTTATAATTTATATATTCTGTATTCAGTTATGAAGGCTCTAATTGTTGTTTGCGAGCTGCCGTTTAGATGCTTGTATGTGCCCGGGGCTGTTGATGGGTCTGTATGCAATGATGGGCGTAGCTGCGGGAAGTTTGTTTTTTTTGTTGATGAGTGAGTATAGGGGTGGGATTTAATAAGTTTTCTTCGTCCCACTCCTTTTTCAGGCAATTTTTGTTTTTTGTTTTGTGCATTTTATGTTCAATATAGGTATTTGTTGTGCCTGAAAATGAACAAATAAATGAATGAATGAATGAACACAGGAAGCAAGAAACAATTTACAAAGATGCAGACCGACACTGAACTAAACCTAGAATAATAATCAATAATATAGAAATATACCAAAATATAAGAAACTGACAAAGCTGGGTCAAAATGACCCAGAACCGTGACACAAATTCAAATATTTGTTTGTTTAATAGGATAAAATGTTTCAGTTTTGATGTGGCTAAGTTGTCTCTTTATCATTTTC